CAAGAAGGGCACCACCATAGACGCCAGCGACCAAACACATTCACCAGGCAGATGGTTAGCGGGCGAACACGGGGTTCGCGATTGGTTGGTTTCTACGTTTATTGTTTGTAGTACGACTAGTACCACCACGGCTGCTACCACAACGATCAGTACTGCTACTACTGTTTGGACTTATTGCTCTCCTCCGACTGCGAACACTATGGTCACTGCGTCACATATACTTAATACGATTACTACTATCCTCAGTACCATACCTATACAGCTGTTGCTGTTACTATCCATATTGTCATTATTATCAGTATTGCGAGTACGACTACGGGCTCGACGACTCCTACGGCCTCTAATACGTCTACTACGACCACTACTGCTACCACTCACATTGCCACTGCAATGCCCATTGCCACTACCACGGCTAGTAGTATGCGCAATACGTATCCTACTACACATCCTTGTTGCTGCGACTGTTATTGGTATGCTTATCACAACGGCTGGTACTACGCCTGTCAGTTGCAATATTGGTATTATGACCACTTGTATTATTACTACAACAATACATTACTACGACGACCACCGCGACTACTATTACTCCTACTGCTACTACTTGTGCTGCTACTGCTAGCACTACTACTACAAGCGCCATTACGGCTATCATTCATATTATTTCTATTGTGACTACGATTATTAGGACTGCGACGGCGACGACGATGACGACGACTACGACGACGACAACGACGACGACTACTACTACTACGACCTACTACCTACTACCTTCGACCTACTACCTATTACTCCCACCCACAACTACTATTATTACTACTGCCACTACCACTACTACTACTACTACTACTACTACTACCACTACTACTACTACCACTATTACTACTACTACTACTACTACTACTACTACTACTGCTTTGAATGCTTCGTCGGCAACGCCGACGACGACGACTACCAGTATTACTTTTACTGCCACGACGGCGACGACTACTACTACTACTACTACTACTACTCCTTTGCGATTTTTTCTGTTATAGCACCACGCTACTACTACTACTACTACTACTACTACTACTACTACTACTACTACTACTTCTACGACTACTACTACTACTACTACTATTACGACGACCACTACTGCTGCTGCTGCTGCTGCTACTACTACTACTACGAATACCACGACGACGACGACGACGACGACGACGACTACTACTACTACTACCACTCATACTACGACTTCCATACTACTGCTAGTACTACTACTACTACTACCACTACTACTACTACTACTACTACTACTACTACTACTACTACTACTACTACTACTACTACTACTACTACACTACTACTACTACTACTACTACTACTACTACTACTACTACTACTACTACTACTACTACTACTACTACTACTACACTACTACTACTACTACTACTACTACTACTACTACTACTACTACTACTACTACTACTACTACTACTACTACTACTACTACTACTACTAACTACTACTACTACTACTACTACTAACTACTGCTACTACACTACGATACTACCTTACTGCTACACTACGACTCTTACCCTTACTACTACCACTAGTACAGTACGAACTACTACTACTACTACTACTACTACTACTACTACGACTACTACTACTACTACGACGACTACTAACTACTACTACTACGACTACTACTACTATTACTACTACTACTACTACTACTACTACTACTACTACTACTACTACTACACCGACTACTACTACTACTACTACCACCACGACTACTATGGCTGCTACGACTGCGATGAATACTACTACGATTACTACTAGTACTGCTACTACTACGACTACTACTACTACTACTACTACTACTACTACTACTACTACTACCACGACTACTACTACGTCCAGAGATACTACTACTACTACTACTACTACTGCTACTACTACTACAACCACTACTACTACTGCTGCTACTACTACTACTACTACTACGACCGCACCTACAACAAACAACAACTCTTATAATCACTACTACTGCTACCATCGCTACCACCTAATGCCACTACTACTACGACGACCACTACTGCTACTATCATTACGCCTACTCACTACTACTACTACTACTACTATTACTACTACTACTACTACTACTACTACTACTACTACTACTACTTCTACTACTACTACTACTACTACTACTACTACTACTACTACTACGACTACTACTACTACTACGACTACTAGTACTACTGCTGCTACTACTACTACTACTACTACTACTACTACTACTGCGACCATTTCTGCTACTCCTGTTACTCCTATTACCACTACTACTACTACTACTACTACTACTGCTACTACTACTACTACTACTACTACTACTACTAATACTACGACCACTGCTACTACACTTGCTAATAGCAGTATTACGACTAGTACTACGACCACGACTCGCAATACTATTAGGTCGGCTACTACGACAGTGGCTACTACTACTACAACTACAACTACAATTACTACTTCCACTACTACTACTACTACTACTACTACTATTACTACTACTACTACTACTACTACTACTACTACTACGACTACTACCACGACTACTACTACTACTACGACTACTACTCTACTACTACTACTACTACTACTATTACTACTACTACCACCACCTACTACACTACACTACTACTACTACTACTACTACTATACTACTACTACACTACTACTACTACTACTACTACTACTACTACTACTACTACTACTACTACTACTACTATTACTACTACTACTACTACTACTACTACTACTACTACTACTACTACGACTACTACTACTACTATTACTACTACCTCTACGACTACTTTTGCCACTTCTCCTGCTACTACGACTGCTACTATTACAACTACCGCAATAACAGCTAGTACCACTACTACGACTACTCTAAATACTGCCCGACTTACCTACCTACGTACTTGTGGACCTACCTACTACCCTCTACTACCGACAATTTCTATCATATTAGCTACAGCCTAATACCTACGACATCCTGCCAAGTACTGCACGACGATAACAACTACTACCACTACTTCGCTCAACTCTTCGTTCAGTCTGGTGCTACTCCTGCTCCTCCCCTCTCCCTCCCCCTCTTCGTCTTCCTCTCCCATCTGCTTCCTCTTGCCCCTTCCGCCCCCGAGGACTCGCAGGCGGCCGCGGCGCCTGGCGGGGGCCTGCAACAGCAGGAGGAGGACGAGGACCTCGCCGCGCAGGAGCAAGCCGCCGATGGGATCCTTGCCCGCCCTCCCCGCCCTGTCGGCCACGCTCACGAGAATTTTTGGCACCAGTGGCCAACGACCCCCTTTCGGAGGCGAGTGTGGCCTGCCCGCCCGCTGCACCGACCGTCGCTCCAGCGAGCCGCAGCGGCTTGGATACGATGCAGAGCAGGAGGGACGCGGCGAAGGCAGGCGAAGGAAAAGGTTGGAGGAAGAAGGCGGCCCCGCCGAACAATGGTCGGTGGGGCATTGGCGGGTGGCTCTCCCGAAACCCAGGCCGCTCGCGCCACCAGGTGCCCACGATAAGCAGGCTGCGGGGCGCTGGCGAAGGCGGGGGAGGAGGGGGGGAGAAGGCGCAGCGCCCCTCTCGTCTCCTCGGCGCCGGTCCTCCGATTTCCCAGGTTTCCTGCTCGGGTGGGGTCCTCCGAGTCTCCCTGGTGGCGGCTGCCCTTGGTGTGGGGTCCTCCGTGTTTCCCTGCTCGGGTGCCGGTATCGGCGCGCCGTCCTGGCCAGGACGGCCCAGAAGGTCCCCAGGACGGCGTTTCGGTGGGGGCGCAGACCACCAAGAAATTGTCAAAGAGGGGCACCAAAAACGTCCCCAGAGAGCTCCAAGAGGCTTGCAAGAACGCCCAAGAGACCCCTAAAAGAGCGACCAACGCAGCTCTGAAAAGCCCTCAGCATTCAACCATCGTCGAGCGACGTCGTCATTGATTATCGTCCGCAGGTGCGTGGTGTTTCAACATCACTATAAGCTACTCGGGGTGACTCCTGTTCCCCACCCTGTGTACTCCTATTCTTCCTCGTTCCTTCGCATCAACATGACTCCCCCCCTGCAGATGATTCCTCCTTGTCCTCCCCCTATTTTCTCCTTCGCCCCCTTCCCATCCACATTTCACAAGAGTTCACAAAAGAAAAAAACGTCAGATCGTGGGAAGTAATCCACCCTTTGGGGCAGCCGCCACTCGTTTGAATAGGTCTGGGGCCCCCTGGGCAGCGGCTCCTGGGCGCCCTGTGGACACTCTGCACACTCGACCCTCCCTTGCATTCTTCCCAATTCATTCTTCGCATTCTTGCAGCCTGTAGTCCTGCATATCCTCCCTTCTTCTCTTGCGCCTTGTTCCGTTTTCCTCCTCGTTTATTCCCTCGCGCAGGAGATCACAACAGTGCCTTTCAGGACCCGTCGATCGTGAAAAACAGTGTGTGCTCCAAGGCTTTCGTTGTTATCGATATCGGAAGTCCACGGCGTCCCTGAACAAGGCCATTGACCGTGGGCAACGTGCTTATCATGACTCTTCGACGTCATCGCCACCCTGCGGTTTTGAATCGCCATGTCCTTCGTCTACGGTGTGTTTTGGCGGCCGATCAAACTAGAATGCGAGAGCGAGCGGAGCGAACGATGTCTCTCCAACGCATATAGGAGGAGAGGAATATATATATATATAACAAACAACATACATATACATAGAGATATATAGAGCGCGCGAGAGCGAGAAAGAGAGAGAGAGAGAGAGAGAGACACAAAAAAACAAACGAGAGAGAATGAGAGAGAGAGGAAGAGAGAGAGAGAGAGAGATCTTGTTGAGGGCTTTCTCCACATCGGGGAATACCTTTGAACGTATGGCCAGCTCCACACTGTCCCCCCCTATGCCAGTCCCCCCCCTATCGTTGCCCCTCAATAAACGAGCCCTAGTGCAAGCTTTGCCTGAGGCCGATCGTGCCCAGCAGGCCATGTGGAGGGCAGCCTGCGTAAAACCTGCAGTGGAGGAGCCGCTCGGTACTTCCGCTGCCGTGGCGGCCCCGCTTTTCTGGCAGTATCCTCCCAAGCCAGCGCGGCCCTACTGCGCCTCCCCTCCTGTCCTCCTCTCCTCCGAGGACCAGGACCTGGTCGCGCCGGAGGAGCCCGACGGGGCCGTGCCAGAGGACGAGGACCTCGCGTACGACTGGGACTTCGGCAGCCAGGAGGGTGCCGCTCGAGAGGGGCCGGCGGCAGACGAGGCGGGCTTCGAGGAGGTGGACGTCGAGGAGGAGGAGGATGAGGACCTTGCAGGCGGGGGGGCGGAGGCCGAGCGGTGGGACCCCGAGGAGGGCGAGGATGCTTTGCCCGGCGGCGACGCCGCCACCGCCGAGGCCGCGTTCGAGGCGATGAACGCGGAGCAGAGTCAAGATGGAGAGGCCGAGGAGGCGTTGCTCAGACGGTTGCGAGCTGCATTGGCCAAGTGGTTCAGCGACTCGGACTTCGAGCTGGAGCCCTTCGGCTCCTTCGTGACGCAGCTGGGCCTTCGGGAAAGCGAAGAGGCTCAGGGCCGCAGCGATCTCGACGTCGTGTTGCTCTTCCGTGGCAGCGCTGCCGACACGTTTGCGCGCAAGGAGGTGCGCGATCGGGTCGTGGCCCCGACCATCAATGCGCTCGGGAGGTGGCTTCCATCGCTGCCCGGGGTCGTTGTGAAGAACGTGATCAGGCACGCTAGGGTGCCCATCGTCATGTTCGAGACGCGGGAGCTGTCGGTGGACATCTCTGTGCAGCAGCCGTGGGGGGTCTTGAACTCCTGGCACCTGCGCGACCTGTGCAACAGCGGCTGGCCCGGCAGGCTGCGGGCGCTGGCACGCATGGTGAAGCTGTGGGCCAAGTCCAAAAGCATCCACACCGCCAAGGACGGGTCGCTGAGCTCCTACGGCTACAGCATGCTGGCCGCCTCCTTCCTGCAGGGCTGCGGCGGCCTGCCGGCCATACTGCCCCGCGCCGCGCGCGCGGACGGCAACCCGTACATGGACGCAGACGAGGCCTTGGAGCACGTGCTCGGCGCCAGCGGCGGAGGCCGCCGGGGCCGACCCGCGGAGCTGTGGGCGCCGCCGGAGAGGTTCGAGCCCGACGAGCTCTCGGACGTGCAGGGCACCGCCCTGCCGGCGGGGCTCTTCCTGGGGGGGCGAAGGGTGATGTGCTCACAAAAACTCGGAGGTCCGCGCGGAGTTCTCGGAGCGGTGCCGGACCCCCCCTCCCTGGCGCGCGGAGTGCGCCAGCGGCGGCGGCGGAGGCGCCGCCGGGGGGGGGGGTCCAGCGCGGATCCGAGAAATCCGCGTGGACCTGCGAGTTTTTGTTGAACATGTCATTGATCGATCCTCTATCTTCCTGGACTGGCTGGGGTGGATGGCGTCCACGGTGCTCGGCTTCGCCGCTGCTGGTAGCGGCGGTCCTGGCGGTGTTGGCACGGTGCCCTTGGAGCGCCGGCATATCGTGTCGGTGCGTCCGGGCACGCAGGAGGAGCTGCGCGCGGACGTGACCTGGTCGCCAAAGCTCAACGAGCACTGGGAGCCTGGCAGGCAGGAGGTCTTCATGCTCATCGAGGAGCCCCTGAACGGTGAGAACGTGGCGAGGTGCGTCCGCGCCGAGGGCTTCTGGGCGATCTTGGCGGAGGTGGACCGCGCCAGAAACTACCTCGCGACCGCGCGGGGTTGCCGAGACGGTGGCCTGGCGGCCTTCCAGGCCCTGCTGGGGCTGCCGTCCCTGAGCCACGCGAGGAGGCAGCTCCCCAACGGCGTGGGCCTGCCGGGCCGATGGCAGGCCCCGCCGGCGGAGCGCGCGAAGCGCCCCCGCGCGGAGGCGGCCGGCGAGGCGCCGCCGCACAAGCGGGCCCGAGGACCCGCAGGCGCCCCTGCGCCCCCGCCGCTGCGCGCTGGCGCGAAGGGTGCCGGCGCGAAGGGCGCCGGCCGACTGCCGGCGAGGCCGCCGGCCGCGCTGGCGCCGCTGCCGCGGGGGCCGCGGCCGCCCGCCGCGCCGCCGTCGCAGGCGCTGCTGGCGCGCGCGGCGGGCAGCGGCAAGGGCGCGCCCCAGCAGCGGCTGTCGCACCCCGCGGCTGGGCCGCCCAGGCCCACGCCCGTGCCGCGGCGGCGGTGCGGCCCGCCGTCGCGCGGCCGGCGGCGAGGCCTCCAGCCGCGGCTCGGCCGCCGCAGCGGCAGGCGCCGCCGCCGCGGGGCCCGCGGCCGCCCGCCGCACCGCCTCCCGGGCTGCGCCCGCCCGCGCGGGCTGGGCGGAGCGCGGCCAGGCCGGCGTACAGGCGACCGCGGCCGCCTCAGCGCCGAAGTGCAGCATCGTCCAGCCTATCCCCATCCCCACTGGGCCATGATGTCGCAGCCCCACCCAGCTCCACCTCCCAGATGGCCCCGGGTAGAGTCTGAGGGAACAGGCATGCAATATCGCCACCTGGGTGGAGGTAGTGATCGGTCAAACGATGCTCAGAAGCCCCCATTCGTGACCCCCGTTGTCCATCGGTTCTGGCCCGCAGGGGACCCCCCTGAGTTGGGGCTCCGCCTCGCCCGTAATTACCCGCCCGCAGCTTCTGGCCCCGTACTCGTGCCGCGGGGCCTCCACGAGCTGGGCCCGTGACTACAGTTGGTGGATATCTCGCCAGTGAAATGTTTGGTGAGGTGGTTTCGCCTGCTTTGGTTGAGGCCGAGGTTCCAGCAGGCCAGTGCGCGCGCTCGAGGAGTGCAGTTTGATCCAGCCCGAGCGCTCGATCAGCCCACGACAAGCGGTCCTGCACAGCCGTGGGGTGCTGCGCGCTCGGTAGGAGTGCAGTGATGGAGCGCGCGCCGTGGGCTGCCGGAACGCCGGTGTTCAGACAGATATAGTGTTGGTACGCACGCCGTGTGCTGCTGGCATGCCGTGCGCCTGGTACAAATGCGCTGATCGAGCGCACCGTTATTTCTGGCATGAGCTGCTGGAACTTGCGTGTTGGAGCGACACCCCGCTTTGGCCTTGAACAGTTTCAGCAGGTTGGGGGGGAGGGATAAAGGACGTGGCGGGAGGTTGCCAGCATTGTATGCATGTTTTGTCCTCAAACGGGGCCCGCTGCTTACACGCCATGATACATCATGCTTGCGCTGCTCTGCCAGACCTAACGACATGGCGCGCTGTCAAATTGGGCCCCGTTGAGCCGAAGGGGCTACGGATGCAACGAGGATCAGGACATGACGCTTCCCCTAAACCGCTCCCGACACATTGACCTGCTCGTTGAAATCTCACCACGCAGCAACCGTATCCCACTGGCTACAGGGGTGCTCTTCACTCGCCCCTGCCAAGCCCTGCCTTCGAGGCGTGCCGTTGAAGAGGCCACGGCGGGCCCTTGGCTGATCCGCCTCCTTGACATCCTCCGACAGTTTGGCTTTCAATCAGAGGTTCCGACCCCTTCCCAAAGGGCAGTTTTGCGCCCCGGATTTGTTATTGATGGTCCCGGGGCCCGACAACGTGCGGCGGAGGCCGAAATCGAGGAAGCTCGCTTGAGCCACGCAAAAAAAACGGGGCCGTCTTTCTTCGCCGACATTGGTGCGCAAGTTGCCTGCGTAAGGTCGCGCGTGCGCGCTCTCGTCTCCAGTGTGGCGTGCCGCGCTGGCGCCCCGCGTGGGCCCCCGCATAAGGTTGCTATGTCGTCTCGCGTAAGATCGTCGCTCTTTTGGACTGTAACCACCATGTCTTCGGAGATCTGGGTTTTGCCCTCCCCCCCAGGGCCTTCCCGGACCGGTCCTCGTCCTTCTCCTCCTCGTTGTTTTCGTCGTCCACCTTCTCCTCCACGTCATCGTCGTCGTCGTCGTCCTCCTCCACCTCCTATGGCTCAGGATGAAAAACCGGTCCCAGGGAAAGGGTCGGGTCTTCCGGAGACCCCGTCCTGAAAACATCGGCATCGCATGTCCGAGAATGGGTGCAGGAAGCGTGGCCCCAGCGTGGGCACGATGCCCAACGACGAATGTCGTCCAAGCCCGACTGCGGCCGCGGTTGGACAGGCGTCCTGCTGTCGCGAGCGGACAACGTCTGCGGCGACACTGGCAGCGGATCGGGCTCAGAACGGACAGGAAGTGCTGTCGGTCTTCGTGCCCGCTCTTTCCGTGCGGTAGGTTCGCGTCGCGTCGACCAGCCTGCCGGCGTTCAACATCGAACGCCGCTGGCGACACAGAGTCGGTCGGTGTTGAACGATCGGGCGTTGCGGAAAGGGCCAATCGTTCTCAAGGTTGACCGATCCCCGCGAGGTCAGGAACCAACGCCGGGGTCCGCACGGCACGAACCTGCCGTGCCCATCTCCATCGTACCGAACGGGGGGGGGGCGAGGGTTGGGCTTAAGTCGGGCCTGTCCCTCCACAGGGGGAATTCTCAAACGTAGTCAAAAATTAGTCTGGGGACGATGTTTTGACCATTTTTGAGTATCTTAGGGAATGGTTTAACAATTTGTTATTTTTCGTCCAACGTCCCCCTGTATTCCGGAGGGAAAGAAACACACAGACACAATTAATCGTCGATCCCCAGGAAAATATTAGAAAATATGGGAAGTGTGGGTGGAGAGAGAAGCCCCAAAAATATGGGAAACATATGGAGAATCTTGTTACGTATGTGTATTTATTTGTGTGTCCCAGGGCCCCTTCATGTATGGGGGACAGGCCCGACTTCGGGTTGGGCGCCTGGCCCGCCCCAGCCGCCCTCGAGGGCGGGCGGGGAGGCGGGCCCCGAGAGGGCCCCTCGGCCCGTGCAGAGGCCGCGCGGTCCGAGGCCCCCGGGGGCAGGCAGCGGGGGGTCCAGCGGCTGAGTCGGGCCTGTCCCCCCGCGGGGGGATTTCGGAGGAGGAGGAGGAGGAGGAGGCGCCGAGGAGGGGGAGGAGGAGGCGTGGAGGAGGAGGAGGAGGAGGAGGAGGGGGGGGGAGGAGGAGGAGGAGGCGGCGGAGAGGAGGCGCGGAAGAGGAAGGAGGAGAGGAGGAGGAGGATGAGGAGGAGGAAGGAGGAGGAGGAGGAGAAGGGGAGGAGGAGGGGGAGGGGGAGGGGGACAAGCTAGGTGCGCTCGCGTCATATCTGACGTCCTACCCCTCCCTCCCATCCCTTACCATGGCGCTGATTTTCTCTATCCGCGGACGCGTGTCGTAGCGGACCTGTGGCTCCGCGCGCGCGTGCGTAGTGGGTGGTGGTGCGCGTGCGTGCGTGCGTGCGTGCGTGCGTGCGTGCGTTGCGTGCGTGCGTGCGTGCGTGCGTGCGTGCGTGCGTGTGTGCGTGGTGGTGCTGGTGCTGGTGCTGGTGCTGGTGCTGGTGCTGGTGCTGGTGCTGGTGCTGGTGCTGGTGCTGTGCTGGTGCTGGTGCTGGTGCTGGTGCTGGTGCTGGTGCTGGTGCTGGTGCTGTGCTGGTGGTGGTGGTGGGTGGTGGTGGTGGTGGTGGTGGTGCGGCGCGGTGGTGGCGGGCGGATGGGCGCGCGAGAAAGAGGCCCGCGCTGGGGCGAGAACGCCATCCTGAACGACGGAGGCCAAACACCGATCCGAAAATGAGGCCCACGCTGCAGCGGGAGCACGATTCGGAACGATTCGGGAGCAGAAATGATGCCGGCGCCTCAGCGAGAGCAGCATTTTGAAAAAAACGAAGGCGAAAACCCGTTTCCCGGGAATCCTGTGTATAAAACAGTACGCGGGGGGGGGTCGGATATCTTCGGGACGCCATCAGGGGAAGTGGGAGAGTATTTTCATATTGTGTAATTGTGGAGGGGAGGAGGAGGAAGAGGAGGAGAGGAGGAGGAGGAGGAGGAGGAGGAGGAGGAGGAGGGGGAGGGGGAGGGGGAGGAGGGGGAGGAGGAGGAGAGAGTCGAGGCTCATCGAGAATCGACTGGTGGGTCCAGCGCCGAGTCGGGCCTGCCCCCCCACAGGGGGATTTGGGCGAAGAATGAAGCATAATGCTCCAAACATGCCCTAGAATGCCAAACAAATAATCAAAGAATGGGCGAAACATTTAAAGATACTCCCAAAGTGCTTCAACATAGCCCCAGACCATTTTTCTATTATTTTGGAATATACCCCCCTGTAAGGGGACAGGCCCGACTTAAGTCCAGCGCAGGCGGGGCTCGGCAAGAGCGCTGGACACGTGCAGGGCTCTGCAGGGGCAGATTTTGGCCGAGCCAGGTTTGGAAGCCTCTCGCGGCCCAGGAAGGCCAGAAAAGGCCCCAAAACCTCAGGCTTTTGAAGGATCTTGACATTTGCTTAGTTTCGGCCTTCCGACGGCCCGAGAGCCCCCAAGGATCGCCCAAAGATCGCCAAAGAGGCCTCCAAGATGGCCCCTCGGAGGTGGCCTTCCAATGTATGTAATCATTGGCCGAGCCGAGGTTGGGGCCACCCCCGAGAGCTGCAGCGCCTTTTTTGTTTCTGGGGCGGCTGAGCAAGATCTGCGCCGAGCTGGTTTCGCCCGCGCCCGACAGATCGCGGGGTGCACGCTGATTTTCCGCGGCCGTGGCGTCCGAAGCCCGTCTGGACGACGAGGGGGGGTGGGGGGGGGCGAGTGTCACCATGCCTGAGGAGGAGAGGAGAAGGGAGAGGAGGAGAGGAGGAGTAGGAGGAGGAGGAGGAGGAGAGGAGGGGGAGGGGGAGGGAAGGAGGTAGGGAGGGAGGAGGAGGAGGAGGAGGAGGGGGATTAGGAGGGAGAGGATGAGGGGAGGCGGAGGCGGAGGAGGAGGGAGAGAGGAAGAGGAGGTAGAGGAGTAGGAGAGAGGAGGAGGAGGAGGAGGAGGAGGAGGAAGAGGAGGAGGAGGAGGAGGAGGAGGAGGAGGAGGAGGAGAGTCGAGGCTTACGGATCGATGATCGACTGACTGGTGGGGCCTCCGGGAGGCACCTCGTGGCTGCGGCTCGGCTCCCCTTGGCGTCCTGGAGACACGCACCCTGGAGAGGTCTTGGGGGGTGCAAGCGTCACTGGAGACCGTCAAGAGTTGTCGTTGGCCACGGTGGTGCTCGTGCTTTTGACGTCTTCGGTAGCAAATCATGGGAGCCTGGTATACCCTCTTACTTCCGTCTTTAGCGTTTATTAGCGTCGATGAGCGTCTGGATGTGGATGAGATATCGCCGATTTAGCGTCGGTTGGCGTCGGTTCGCTTTGATTTTGCGTCGACAAGCGTCGATTCGCGTCGATTCGCAAGAGCCGACAAGATAGTATGGGAAGCTCCCTTGAGTTGCCGCCGAAGACGTTTTCCTGTGCTCTGGCGGGCGGTCCATCGTCTGCTAGACTTACTGTTACCTTCCCGAGCCTTGCCCGTGGTTTTCGCCAGCCCTCAGGTGATCGCGCGCCGCCAGTGCTGCCCAGGGGCGGCAACGCCTGTTCGTCTCCTCTCGCGGCTCCTCCTCCTCCTCCTCCTCCTCCTCCTCCTCCTCCTCCTCCTCCTCCTCCCTCCTCCTCCTCCTCCTCCTCCTCCTCCTCCTCCTCTCCCCTCCTCCTCCTCCCCTCCTTCCTCCCTCCTCCTCCTCCTCCTCCGCCTCCTCCTCCTCCTGCTCCTCCTCCTCTCTCCTCCCTCCTCCTCCTCCTCCTCCTCCCCTCCTCCTCCTCCTCCTCCTCCTCCCCTCCCCCTCCTCGCCTCCTCCGCGCCTCCTCATCCTCCTCCTC